CTGCCTTGTTGCCTGTGCCTCTGAGAAGTTTCCATGTGGCTGAGAAGCTGGGTGGCAGCACAGTTGTGATCAGGTGCTCAGGTGCTCCCCTGTCTGGGTGGCAAGCGTGCCCACATGTGATCCCATAGAGGAGGCCGGGCCTGAGGAAGCCAGGGAAGCAGGAGGGGGCGTGGGGAGGCCAGCAGAAATGTGGGCCTCCGCGGGGAGGGAATAGGCAATGCAGCATAGAGGATGAGAAGCCCACAGCAGCCACACTAGGGCCCCAGGAGATTGTGGATGCCGTCGAGAGCATTATTCGGTGGAGGGGTGGGGACAAAAGCCAGATGAGACAGTTCGGAGGTGATAGGCAGGTGAGGACGTGAGACAGAGGGAGAACAGTGATTTGAGAACTGTGTCATAGGTGGGACAGGAGTCCACATCCCAGTCAGCACCTGGAAGGTTGGGCTGGTTCTGCCCAGGGTCTGGCACGTAGTGTGCACTCACCAGATGGTCGCTGCCCTGAAAGAACTCAGCACCGTGCCTCCTTTCCTACCTCTGGTGTTTGCTGTCAATGTGCAGAGTGCTGGACAAAACTGGGCCAAGGGAGCTGTCCCACTGCCTGCTGCCCTCAAGCAGAGCTGACCTGGCACATGCCTCTGGCATGCTTCACTGTTGGCCTGGCCGCCCCAGTGGGCCCAAGCAGGGGATGCTACCTGTTCCTTGGGCTGTTACGTATTTGCTGGGGCATTGAGGGGATGAAAGGTTTTTTGTTTTTTGTTTTTGAGACAGAGTTTTACTCTGAGTGCCCAGGCTCCAGTACAATGGCATGATCTTGGCTCACTGCAACCTCCACCCCCAGGTTCAAGCAATTTTCCTGCCTCAGCCTCCCAAACAGCTGGGATTACAGGCGACAGCCACCACACCTGGCTAATTTTTGTATTTTTAGTAGAGACAGGGTTTCACCATGTTGGCCAGGCTGGTCTCAAACTCCAGACCTCAGGTCCACCTGCCTCAGCCTCCCAAAGTGCTGGGATTATAGACATGAACCACTGTGCCTGGCTGGATGAAAGGTATTGAGTACTAGGGGCTAGGAGGGACCAAGAGAAAGAGGAAGAGATTTTTTGGTTCTTCCCATGAACTAAGCAAGGGAGGCAGGGCTAGCCCTTGCACCATGAAGGTGGGAGAGAAGTGATACAAAGGTTCATCTGATGTCACAGATGTCACAGGTCTGCTTCTTGTAAAGGGCCTCCTGTACGGGGGGCCTCATGCATGGTGGGTTCTGCATGGGACTTTGCTGAGTAACCCCCATCCGGGCCCTATCCCCTTCCCTCATGGCCCTGTGACCTCCTGGCACCATGACCCTCTCCCTGCTCCTGGCTCTAGGAAGCTCCAAACCTCTCTCACCTGCCTGCCCACCTGCCTGCTAGGTTTCCAAAGCTAAACAGAGGGGCAGCTGTCTGGGCAGGGCAAGGGAGCCAGCAGCCTGCCTGGGTTCCTGTCCGAGTGTCCAACTTTGCTTCTTCCTTTTAGGGCAGCGTCAGGAAGGATCTTAGGAACACCATGTTGCTCTGGGGATGAGGAGGCTGGAACAGCAACTTAAAAATAGAAATAGTACCTGGAAGGGAGGGAAGGAGAAGGTTCAGAGGCATGTCATTTAGGCACCCCAACTTCTATACCTTACCAAGGTGCCAGGCCCAGAAGGGAGGGGTAGCTAGGGCAGCTCCCTCACCCACACCTGCCTTCTCACCCCTCTCCTATTTCATGAGCATTTACCATGTATCAGATACATTCCTCACAGCACCTTTATCAGCAGGGATGCCCTTTTCATGCTACAAACAGGCTCAGAGAGGTTGTCACTTATACAAGGTTGCACAGCATCATAGAGACACAGAAAGGACTAGAGCCCAGGACTTCTAACCCCAGCTCCTTCTGCTTCCCTCCCATCATCAGCCCCAGACAACCTGAGAGTGGAGAGGACAGAAAGTCAGGATATCAACACCTCGTACTCCGAAAACTCAGTGGTGGTTCTCACCCTCTCAGTGGGGCAGGTGGCCTCACACCGCACCACAGGCTAAACAGGGTGCATGGGGCATGTAGCCCCACTGGCCATTCTACACATTCATGCCAACAGCTGCCAGGCACCAGCCTCACCATTGTTTTTTGCACAACTGGTCTGTGCCAAGTGCCATTCTAGATGTGACCCCCAACTTCGGGGAGCTTGCGTTCTGAGAAGGGAGATGGTCAGCCGGAATACCCCACCACAGGAGCTAGGCTGGAGGTCCCCAAGGTACACCAAGAAGCTCAAATGACCTGGACCTGGGAGGGGTGGCCAGAGGCTTCTGCTGGAGGAACCTTAAGTAAGTTAGTGAACTTGTCTCAACCTCAGTTTCCTCATCTGGAAAATGGGCTAGTTGCTGCCTCATAGGGTTTTGCTGAGGATTGGATGAGTGCAAGTGCTTAGCATGGCACCTGGCACAGAGAAACATGCCTCAGTAAACTTAAGCTGCCCATATCATTGGTTGACCCTCCCAACCAGAGTGCAAGCCCCAGGAGGGCACAGATCATGCCTGCTTGTTCATCGCCGTATTTTCAGTGCCTAGGCCAGAAGCCAGCACAAAGTAAATGCTCAGAAAATATTAACTTAATAAGTTCATGAGAAAAGGCCCAGGAAAATTAGGAAATGGCAGGGCTATTCCAGTTAGGAATAGACTCCTAGGCCAGGTGAAGTGGCTCACACCTGTAATCCCAGCACTTTGGGAGGCCAAGGCAAGCGGATCACCTGACATAAGGAGTTCGAGACCAACTTGGCCAACATGGTGAAACCCCATCTCTACCAAAAAATACAAAAATTAGCCGGGCATGGTGGCACACACCTGTAATTCCAGCTACTTAGGAGGCTGAGGCACGAGAATCACTTGAACCCGGAAGGTGGAGGTTGCAGTGAGCTGAGATTGCACCACTGTGCTCCAGCCTGGGTTGCAGAGTGAGACTCCGTCTCAAAAAAAAAAAAAGGAATAGACTCCTTTCTGCACCTGTATTTGCTCTAGCCGTAAAAAACTTTATAGCCAAGTGCAGTGGCACACCTGCAGTCCCAGCTACTCCGGAGGCTGAGGAGGGAGGATTGCTTGAGCCTAGGAGTTTGAGGCCAGCCTGGGCAATATAGCAAGACCCTGTTAGATATTATCTATTTAGATAATAATAATGACCTGTAATCCCAGCGCTTTGGGAGGCCTAGGCGGATGGATCATCTGAGGTCAGGAATTCAAGACCAGCCTGGGCAACATAGTGAAACTCTGTCTCTACTAAAAATACAAAAATTAGCTGGGCGCAGTGATGCATGCCTGTAATCCCAGCTTCTCAGGGGGCTGGGGCAGGAGAATTGCTTGAGGCGGAGGTTGCAGTGAACCGAGATTGCGCCATTGCACTCCAGACTGGGTGACAGAGCGAGACTCCATCTCAAAGTAATAATAATAATAATGATACATACTATTTTAGTCGAGAGTCATTTTTTCCTTTATCCATCTTTTGTTCACCAACTGTGTATCTCTTGCCTGGCCCAGAATTGAGAGATAATGAGGGGCCCAGACAAACTCCCTGTCCTGCCTGAAGGGATGTTCAGTATTGAACAATTGTTGCTTTATGGCTTTATGACAAAGTCCCAGGTGCTCATGATAATCTTTGTACAGTGGTGGGGCTGTAGGGAGCCCTAACATAGCCTGGGGAAGGCTGCGTAGAAAGTGGAGACCTGAAGGCTGAGGCCGTGTTAAGGATTTAGGTAGAATTTATGCACTATGATATTTTTTTCTTTCGTTAATTTTTTATAATTTACACATACACATGGTAAAATGTGTAACAAGGCACAGTGTTACATAGCAAACATAAGCCTCACTCCACCTTCTCTCTCCACCTACCTGTCCACCTTCTAGATGCAGCCATTGTTACCAGGCCTTGTATTTTCCTGGAGCCAGAGTCCATTTGTATCCCGCGTCTATATTTTTTTCCCAGCATTTGTTTACGAATGGGATCTTGCTACTTCGGAGGTTCTCCACCTGGGATGATTTGGTACCCCCCACCTTCCCACCCCAGGAGACACTTAGCAATGTCTGGAGATACTTGATGGTTACAGATGAACGGGGGGGCCGGGCATGGTGACTCGTGCCTATAATCCTAGCACTTTGGGAGGCCAAGGCAGGTGGATTGCTTGAACTCAGGAGTTCAAGACTAGGCTGGGCAACATGGCAAGACCTCATCTCTACAAAAAATTTTAAAAATTAGCTGGGTGTGGTGGTGTGCACTTGTGGTGACTAAGGAGGCTGAGGTGGGAGGATCAATTGAGCCTAGGAGGTTGAGGCTGTAGTAAACTATGATCATGCCACTGCACTCCAGCCTGGGCAACACAGTGAGACCCTGTCTCAAAAACAAACAAACAATTATTGCCAATTAGTGGGTAGAGGCCAAGAATGCTGTCAAACATTCTATAATTCACAGGACAATCCCCACTTATCTGGTGGAAAATGTCAACAGTGCTGAGGTTGGGAAGCCCTGTCCTGCATAAGCACAGGGTCTGCACCTTATGTGTGTGTGTGTGTGTGTGTGTGTGTGTGTGTGTTCTCATGTATTTTCTGGATCATTCACATTTATAGATCCACCTCATTATTCTTTGTGGCCACATAAAAATCCATTACCTGGATGCTCCACCATTTTCATTTAGGTATTTGCACACTTTCTGCTATTATAAACATTTATGCTACAAGGGTTATTATTTTCCATGCACATGCCTTTGATGTGTGAGGTCAAGGGAGAAACTGATGGAGATGGGATGGATGAACCCAATGGTTCATTCGCATTTTAAACAACCTATTAAAGAGACCTTCAGTCTCTCTGGGGCACAGTCTGTCTGGAGAGTGGGTCTGGGTCCTGGCTGCTAACCAGGGCTGAGATCCTCAAAAGTCTGGTGGAGAAACATCCTCTGCATTCCTCGTGTACAGACAAGGGTGTTCTGACCACCTGTATCTCCACAGGATGAGGGTGTCCCCCACCTGAAGACGACAAGCCGGGTCCTGAGTGATGCTCCTGAGCTGAGTGTCCAAGGCCGGCCCGAGGAGCCCCCATGGCCCCACCTTTCCCCATGGAGAAAGGACTCACTTTGCCCCAGGACTGCCGGGACTTTCTGCACAGCCTGAAGATGAGAAGCAAATACGCTCTTTTCTTGGTTTTTGTGGTGATAGTTTTTGTCTTCATCGAAAAGGAAAATAAAATCATATCAAGGTGAGGGTTGCAAGCCCAAGTCTTCATCTTCCTTTCAAGGTGGGGCGGGTGGGGCAGGGAGGTAACTGCCGGGCTCTCTGTGGACTTGCAAATGCATTCCTTCAACAAGCCATCCCCAGGCCCCTTCTATGTCCCAGGCAGTGGCTTCTGCACACGTCCTCATGACTGCACAGGGGCGAGACTTGGGCTCTGGACTCAAACAGCCTGGGTTGGAGTCCCCGTGTTGGCCCTCTACAACTGTGAAAGGTTAGGCAAGATACTTCACATTTCTGAGTCTTCAGTTCCTCTTCTGTAAAATATGGCTAATGATGGGACCAGCATTGTTGTAAAGAGTAAATGAGAAAATGTAAAAGCATTTAGCCCAGTGCCTGGCACATAGTTGGTGTCCAGTATTTGCTGGCTGTGACTATTACTATTAATTTACTTCCTGGCCTTGCATTAGCAGCACATCCCCTATAGAAGTCTTGATGTCATTGAACCTGTGGAAAGGCAAGGTCCTAGTATGGATACTCTGATGGGCAGGGCTGCCATGTGCAGCTGCCAGGCTGTGTACTGCTCAACTCCAGGAGCATGTCCCTCAAATAGGCTACCCTGGGAACGCCCCTTTACCCCTTTGAATTGGCAGCATACAGCTATGTGCAGTGGGCCTGTTAGATGTAGAAAGATTTCTTAGCCTGTTCTCCTCCCAGGCACAAGCCCTGCAAGAAAGCATTAGCTAAGATGGGTGGGTCAGGGATTGGGCAATACAGTGGACACTGTCAATGCCCCACTTGGGTCACTGAGCAAGGACCATTCTAACTTGTGCCTATTGGGTTCTACTGCAAGCCCCTACAGCTCTGCACCTGAGAGCTTTCTCTCCACCAGCACACTGGCAAGCCGGAAGTACTAGGGAGTAAATGTCCCCCCAGATCCCCATCAGACTGAGCCTCTGATGCCCACACCTGCTTCTAGCAGCATATCTGTCATGGACCTCTTTCCTCCCCTGCCTCACTTCCCTATCCAGTTCTTCCTGTGATCATGTCCCAAATAAACTAAACACAAATCCTTGCCTCAAAGTCTGCTTTTGGGGAAACCCAACTGAGACAGATCTTGGTGATCTGCTTGGGGGACCGCTTCGGGTTGCCCAGGAGACAGGGTCGCCAGTCAGCCACTGACGCTGATCTTCTTTGTCCTCACAGGGTCTCAGACAAACTGAAGCAGATCCCCCAAGCTCTGGCAGATGCCAACAGCACCGACCCAGCCCTGGTCTTAGCTGAGAACGCATCTCTCTTGTCCCTGAGCGAGCTTGATTCAGCCTTCTCCCAGCTGCAGAGCCGTCTTCGCAACCTCAGCTTGCAGCTAGGTGTGGAGCCAGCCGTGGAGGCCGCGGGAGAGGAAGAGGAGGAAGAGGAGGAGGGAAAGGAGGAGCCACCCAGACCGGCCGTGGCTGGGCCCCGGCGCCACGTGCTGCTCATGGCCACCACGCGCACCGGCTCCTCATTCGTGGGCGAATTCTTCAACCAGCAGGGCAACATCTTCTACCTCTTCGAGCCGCTGTGGCACATCGAGCGCACAGTGTCCTTCGAGCCGGGGGGCGCCAACGCCGCGGGCTCGGCCCTGGTGTACCGCGACGTGCTCAAGCAGCTCTTCCTGTGCGACCTGTACGTGCTGGAGCACTTCATCACGCCGCTGCCCGAGGACCACCTGACCGAGTTCATGTTCCGCCGGGGCTCCAGCCGCTCCCTGTGCGAGGACCCCGTCTGCACGCCCTTTGTCAAGAAGGTCTTCGAGAAGTACCACTGCAAGAACCGCCGCTGCGGCCCCCTCAACGTGACGCTGGCCGCCGAGGCCTGCCGCCGCAAGGAGCACATGGCCCTCAAGGCCGTGCGCATCCGGCAGCTGGAGTTCCTGCAGCCGCTGGCCGAGGACCCCCGCCTGGACCTGCGCGTCATCCAGCTGGTGCGCGACCCCCGGGCTGTGCTGGCCTCGCGCATGGTAGCCTTCGCCGGCAAGTATAAGACCTGGAAGAAGTGGCTGGACGACGAGGGCCAGGACGGCCTGAGGGAAGAGGAGGTGCAGCGGCTGCGGGGCAACTGCGAGAGCATCCGTCTGTCCGCAGAGCTGGGGCTGCGGCAGCCCGCCTGGCTGCGGGGCCGCTACATGCTGGTGCGCTATGAGGACGTGGCGCGCGGGCCGCTGCAGAAGGCCCGCGAAATGTACCGCTTTGCCGGCATCCCCCTGACTCCGCAGGTGGAGGACTGGATCCAGAAGAACACGCAGGCGGCCCACGACGGCAGCGGCATCTACTCCACGCAGAAGAACTCCTCGGAGCAGTTCGAGAAGTGGCGCTTCAGCATGCCGTTCAAATTGGCCCAGGTGGTGCAGGCCGCCTGCGGCCCTGCCATGCGTCTCTTCGGCTACAAACTGGCGCGGGACGCCGCGGCCCTCACCAACCGTTCAGTCAGCCTGCTGGAGGAGCGGGGCACCTTCTGGGTCACGTAGGGGCACCTGGGCCCCGTGTGCCGCTCCTCGTGAAAGGCCTGCCCCGCCTTTCTGCCGCAGCCCTCGCAGAGGGCGGGTGCGCAGCGCCGTGAGCGGGCAGCGCCTCCTGTAGCAGTAGGGCCCCCAGCCAGCGCTCCGCCAAAGCGGCGGCCCCAGGGTTAATCGCGGAGAACAGGACAGTGCCCGGTCCCCTTGAGGGCCATCACACCCAGACCCAAGGGGTTGCAGCCTCCTGAGCAGGCCCAGGCAGGCCTGGGCCTGTTGGCAAGCTTCGATCTCAGAGAAACATACATTTGTGCCTGGAGACCCTGCAGGCCAGAGTCCAAATATTTAACAACCAGAAGGGGCAAGGCTCTGACCAGTGACAGTCAGACCTCCTGCTTTATTTGGTGTTAACCGTTTCTTGTCTGGATGGTGAAGTCTGGAATCTGGGTGGGTCCTTGGAGGAGGGGCCAGGACAGCCCTGGGTGTCAAAGGTGGCATTTGAGGTGACAGTGGCTGTTTACCAACCAGTACAGAGCGATTCAGCATTTTCATGAATGGGATGGCTGGATGAATCTGGGCCCCATATTGAGCTGAAAAACACACACATGCGTATAGACATGCATACATGTACGCCACACACAGACAAGCCTCATAAAGGCACAAGTGCACACACATCTATGCAGACAAGCTTCCTCGCTGCTTATGCCTACAGGGTTTTTCTGTATCACACACCTCAGAGGAGCCTGTGATTACATTTGTAGGATTATTTCGAGGGCAGGGCAGGGAAAGGAAATGCGTTAAAGGTCCATGACATGACACAGTTCCCTGGCCAGGTTTGGGACTGAACGGCGGATTCAGAACTGCAGCGTTCAAAGCCCCTGCCCGCCTTAGGTTCTCATGGCTACCTCCTCTGACCTATCCACATCCTTGCGGCTGGCAGGCAGGATGTTTTGAAATGGTGCAGCCAAAGGCCCCGTCCAGCTTGGCTCGCTCCCGAACATGTCCATATTTGAAGGCTGCCTCAGGCCTGGCAGGGAGAGGCAGCTGTGGTCCCTGCAGGCAAAAGGCGGCTCATGGGGCCTTCCATTTCCAGCCAGGCCTCATCTGGGGCAGGGCCAAGAGGAAAGTACAGAGTTCCCGTGGGGGAGAAGTCCCGCCAGGATGCACCCCTTCCCTGAGAAGCCCGCCTTCTCCCTGGTGGACAGGGGTCGGCCAGCTGGTTGCCATGGTTACAACCAGTGCCTGGAATTCCTCCTTAGGGCTCTGGGAAGAGCATTGCTCAATGCAGGATGTGCGGGGTGTTTTATTTGGGGTTTTTAAGTTATTTATGGCTTGGTGTCTTTCTTGTTTTGTGGCTGTTTTTTTGCTTTTGTTTCTGCAGGAGCGCCTCTCCCAAGCAGTGGGGGCCTGAGGGCTTGAGGGAGGCTGGGGAAACCAGCAGGGAGCACTTGGCTCCTGCCAGAGGGAGAGGACAGGAGGAGGAGCCTTCCCCAGGAGGAGCGAGGAGAGGTGGCTGCGTGGCAGGCCACAGTGCCCTATGGGCGTTTCTGTTTGAACCCCATGTGGGATGAATCTCAAAGCCACCAGCGTTCTGGCCTAGTGTCCAGAGCAGCAGAGATTTGCAGCCCTCGCCCCTCCCTGAGAAGAAGCTGGATTTGAAAACCCCTGACAGGCCCTAACATGTTTCCTGGGTGGGCAGAGGCCTCATGACCAAGCAGCAAGTGTACCCAGAGTAGAAGCCCTTCCCCACTCCCACCTCAAGCCCAGGAGCAGAACTCAGTGTCCAGAGCTTGCAAGGGTTTGCCGAGGGCTGCCTAGCCCTGTTTCTGGTTTCCTGGACAATTTCTCTGTCAGATACGGCCCATTGTAAACCCAGAGGGCTGCATTTTGGGTTGAGTAATACGGACACCGGGGAAGTAGAGAATGAGTCCAGCATTGCCGTGGGGGAGGGAAGAGTATGTCCTGGCAGGAAGCCACCATTGGAGAAGGTGAGGCCAGTAACCGTCTCATGGGATTTGCAATCATCAGCCTATTTGAGCTGCTGGGTCTCTGTTACTGTGGACTCCAGTCATTCAAGGAGTTCTCCACTGTTGGGTTTTTTTCTTTTCTTTTCTTTTGCTATTTTGCCTGAACACCCCAACACTCTTGGTTTTAGAGTCCAAGAGTAAGTTGCGCAGAGACATGGTTCTAATTTGGAGTTCAAAGGAACACCAGCTCTGAAAAGGTGACCATGGGGCCAGGATGTTTCTGGCAGGCTCAGAAGTGCTGGCTGCTCTTCCCCAGCCTCCCCACTGCTCCCTCCTCTGTTCCCCATGTGGAGGTGGGGGGTGCTGGGACTGGGGAGGGGGCAGTCACCTCCATCCAAGGCTCTTCCTAGGGGCCCTGCTATTGTGGACAGCAGACTTTATCCCTCCTTCTTACTCTGGGCCAAGACCTCCCACTCCACACTCTGAGGATGGTACCAAGAATGGGCCTTTGGGACTTCTCAGGACATTGACAATGTGCACACTGCAAGTTGACTTAATTTATTTATTTTGTGAAAAGAAGAGACAGAAAATACCTTATTATCTGCAGGGACTCAAAGCTGTACCCAGATCAAGAAAGAAAATAACAATAGAAACCATTCACACACTCTGTTCATGCACGGACACCAGAAGATGATTCAGAACACCAGAGGAGAATAAGCCGGAGCGCCAGCACCACGATGGCCCTGGGACGTTGTTTAAGATCTGAGATCCCTTGGTTTCTCTCATGTTTATCTGAGATGCCACATCAGGGCCCTTGCTGCTATATTACCTCTGCCCGGGTGTTTGAGACCGGTCACAAGTGCCTGGGTGTTTCCTGGAAATGTATTCCCCTGGGACTCAGTGATGCTCTGGGAACCGTTGGGGTTTGGGGAAGGACAATGTGGTGTGACTATTGGCTTGACACTTTGTGGATGTGGTTGGAGTCACCCACGTGGACACGATTTTCACCTTGGAGCTGGGATGGAGAAGATGGAAGCGCTGGGGGCCGGGCCTCCTTTTCCAGCAAGGCTGGCCCTGGTTTCTCCTCTGTTCCAGCTTGTCTGCCAGAAGCCTTCCCCTGTAAAGTGCCCACCTGCCTGGAGACAGGGGGAGCAGCTGAGGCCTCTCTCTACTGGCCGCCAGCCTCCCCAGCACAAGAGGACTATTCAGCAATGAGTGTTGATACTCATGTTCTTTCTTATTGATGAGTTCTGCAGCCCAGCCTATAGAAATGGCTCAGAACATTCCAGGCCTTGGTGAGACAGGGCAGCATCCAGCGCTCACAGGCTGTCCCCGCTCTGCCTGTTCCCATCTTCCCCTTGGGGCCTGTTCATAAATTGAGGAATGGATAAGGGCCCTGGAGGGTCCTTGGGAGTAATTAGTGGAGGGCAGGATTCCCAGGTCCCCATAGAGAGGGAAGGAGAAGCCCACATGTGCACAGAAGCCCGTCTCTGTCACACACACACCGCAGGTGGTCACCGATTTATTTTCCAAAAGCTTAGAAACATAAAGCAAATTTAGGCTTTTGTCCCTCTGCGATACATGCACTTGAAAATAAACAGAAAAAAGATGTTTAATAACAAGTTTACTTCCTGTCTGCTAGCACCCTCAGCCTGGGAGGTACTGCCAGAGGCTGGCGTAGGGGAGCAGCTGCTGACCAAACCCCACAGAACGGAGGCACCAGGCATCACACGACATCTTTCCCTCCCATCTCGGTCATCTGTCTGTCTGGCAATGGAAGGAGCTCCAGCAGGAGGTCCTTCCCAGAAGGTTGATTCTTGGCCTGGGTGGTAGAGGAGATATCCTGACCCTAAAGTCTTCCAGCCCCAGGTCGTCCTCTCCTATGCTGGGGTCTATTGACCGTATAGGCCAGGTGCGGTGGCTCAGGCCTGTAATCCCAACATTTGGGGAGGCCAAGGTGGGAGGATTACTTGAGCCCAGGAGTTGGAGACCAGCCTGGGCAACATGGTGAGACCAATTGACTGTAGGGCTTGTCACTTGCTAGAATAGGAGCAGAAGACTGAATAGCTGTGTCCTCAAGGCAGTCCCCTCCCACCCCCATTCCCAAAGTTAAAGCGAAGCCAGATCTCAAGGGCTGATACCTGAGGCAAGGAGAGCTAAGGGGAGAGAAAGCGGGGTGGGGTGGGAGCAGACACCTTCACAAACCAAGTGTGTCTTACTGATCTGTACAAGCTGATAGAAGGACCATCTGCTGAAATCCAGGGCTCCTGAGTTGGTGGGTTTGCTTGTGAAGCTTCTAGGACAAGGCACAGCCAGATGGAAGGGAGAGGATCCAGGACTTCCTAAATGCAGCCGCATCACCTCAACTCGCTGCAGTTTCAGAGACAGTGGAAGCTGCTCTTTACCTCAAAAGCACAAAGCAGAATTGGCAACTTCACATGTCTCAAGAGCTTCAAGATCCTTTGGTCTCATGTCCTTTGGCACCCCACAACTGTATGGGGGACAAATTTGTTACATGTTTCCAAGGCTACAGACATGGTGCCATCCTTACGGGCCTAGCTCATGTGAGGTACTTTGTGGATCAGGTACTTTGCTGGATCAGGTAATTTGTGGATCAGGTACTTTGCTGGGGGGATACAATGACCCAGGTGGTCTGCGTCCTCTGCCATTGGTTTGAACAGGGCACCCCCTGAAGTCTCCATCTCGGCTGTATAGTCTAGTCCAAATTTGCCTGGCTCCCCCGCTCCCTCCCAAGTCCTGCACACTGTCTTTTTGCCAACACCTCAGCCCTGTGTGCTATTTCATGTCTGCATGGTACGAGACACCGCTTCACGGCATACACTGCCACGGTATGTACATATGCATCCACGTGTGTGTATGTGTAGCATGTAGCTCATTCTGCTCAGCCTCTGGTGCCGTTCCACATTGCTCCCAGCCCCACTGCTGTCACTGTCGTCCCAGATGTCCTTGCCATGGCCACAGACAATCTGCCGTCTCCTGGAAACGCTGGGGCTGCCCTTCAGAGAGCTGGCAGCCACTGGCAGTCAGGGCCTGCTTTGCAGAATAGAATGTGAACCCATCTCCTGATGGCCTACTTGACTTATTTAATTAAAGATGAAAACATGCAACGAGCAAAACCTGCAGCGTGTCTCTGCCTTTTCCTTTGCATTTGTTCTCAGCAGCAATTGGGTCACCATTTTTTTTTTTTCAATTAACGGAAGGGAGGTGACTTCCAGCATGAAGCAGGACAGAGAATCCATTCCCTGCCCATTCCCAAAGGATCAAAGGCACTGGGGGAATATGGGCAGGATGAACGTTCCTTGCGTTACCAGGCTGGCAGAGCTGGTGGGGACTGCGCTGGGGGGAGAGAGAGAAAACCCAGGTATTTGGGGGCAGAGACAGGTACATTGGGCCAGCGGTCAGGGGGCCTGGGGATGAGTCCCAGCTTTACCACTGTCTGGCTGTGTGACCTTGGATGAGTCACTGCCTTTACTTGGACACCAGTTTCCTTTTAGAATGAAAGTATAATCAGTTGTTCACATTGTTCCCAAAAAGCCCCATTAGGGATTCAAAAGTCAGCTGAAAGGGCAGGCGGCACGCTCTCCATGAGAGCCACGGTGCGTTTTGATCTGCTTTACATGTTCAGATAGCATTTCAGATTTATTTGGCCTTCAACTAAATCTCCAAAAACACATGAGAAGATTGCCAAGGACCCTTTCAGCTAAGAAATTGAATGGAGTCCTTTTAAATTGCAGTTACATCTGTCATAACAACTTCAGTTCTTACTACATTTCAGCCCTGCTTGTCTCCCGAGAGCTGCCTACAGAGCATGGGTGTTCCCTGGGGAGAAGGGAGAGAGCTCGTTTTGGAACACAGAAGCCAGAGCTGGTGGGGCTTTGTGGGTCTCAGGACACAGGGGTAGCAGGACCAGCAGCTGCAGGAAGAGGCAGAGGAGGGCTGAGCATGGGAACAGTGGCTCCTGGAGTGAGGGAGTGAAGACTCAGAAAGGCTCAATGTGAGGGAACAGGCCCCCTCCCCAGATCTTAACCTGTGTCTGCCAGTTCACCCAGTCCAGGCCTGGGAAGCTCAAGCCAGCTCCCTCCTGCCCATTAAAGTATTTGAGCTGGTACCTGTCATCCCGACCTGAACAGAAGCTGTCCATCCCAGTTAGGTGCTATTGCTGTCTCCCCTACTCTGGGGACTAGATATAGTTAGTTTAATTTCTGGGCTGTGTTTCCTACCACAAATGACCCCCTGGGGAAACAATTGCACTAATCACAGAGCAGAGAAGCCTGGACGCCTCCCCACCTGCCCACCCCTCAGCCACGAGGCCGGAACCATCTCTCCTCCTCCCCCTTTCCCCCACCCCCAAACCCCTTCGGGATCCTCAGTCTTCCTTCCTACACCCCAATTTACTCAACCCTGGGAAGGAACCAAGTGCCCCGTGCGATCTCTGGGACAGGGAGAGTCGGCTGGGACTCTCTGGAAAGCAGTTTGATCAGCAGGGGACGGGGGTCAAGGACCTGTGCCATTGCCCACAGAGCCCTGCCAGGCCCAGCACTGGCCCAGCCCTGGAGCCTGCAGCAGCGTCCCCAAGTGTGTTTGGAGAAATTGTGGTCACAGGGCTGCTCTTGGGAAGTTACGGTGCACGCTTGCCATTACAGGCTCCACGCAGGCCGCTTTCCTGACTCACCCAGCGTTAAGGATTACCTCCTAGAAAGAACCATTTTTACGGAATTCCTTTATCATGAAAAGCTTTTTTTTTTCCCCCCCAAACAACAGTGTTTTTCAAGACTCTGGCCTTCTTTATTTTTTAAGACTCTGTCACCCAGGTGGGAGTGCAGTGACACAGTCACAGCTCACTGCAGCCGAGACCTCCCAGGCTCTAGCAATCCTCCTGCCTCAGCCTCCCAAGTAGCTGGGACAACAGGCATGTGCCACACCTGCTAGCTTTTTTGTATTTTTTGTAGAGATGGGATCTCACCACATTGCCCAGGCTGATCTTGAACTCCTGAGCTCAAGCAATCTGCCGGCCTCAGCCTCCCAAAGTGCTGGGATTATAAGCGTGAGACACTACACCCAGCCAAGACTCCGTCATTCTGCAGATAGTAGCTATCAGCAGCCTGCAGCTGGAAGTGTGTAGAACCAAAAGCCACCCTAAGCAGACATTAGGAGGTGGGTGAGTTGGCTGGGAGAAAAAATCCAGGGTTGGGTTTAAGGCCCATCCCCCTTCACGCCATCCTCCCCGAGCTGCCAGGGTAAGAGGAGCCCTCAGAGATTACAGCAGTCTCAGGGGCACTGTGGGCCAGGGTTCAAGGCCCTGAGACTTGCTGTCCCCAAACCTCCCTGGTTCTTGGCTTCCTCAACTCAACCCACACTGTGGGGCCTCCGTGGCATGATCCAAAAGATGTGGAACTCCCCACAGAGAGTGGGGACTCTGGAGAACCAGGCCAGGTATAAACACCACGGGATACTATTTATCTGAGAAATAGGAGTTTGAGATCGCTCTTAAAGGAGCCATTTCTGAAACAGTGGGACAAAGGTTACCAGCAGTAAATAGGTTTCCTGGAGGTGTAATCCTCTGGTAGCTAGTAAAACCTTTGCTGAATGCTGTGGGCCGGCCGTTTATTGGAAGAAGAAGCAGGTAGTAAGTGCCCAGCAGGAGAGGCCCGCCCAAGAAAATTAGAAGGGGGAAAAAGAAGGAAGGGAGGGAAGGGGAAGGAAGGAGAGGGAAGAGAAGAGGAAAGAACGAAAAAAAGGAGGAAGATGCCAGGCTTGGTGGCCCACACCTATAATTCCAGCACTTCGGGAGGCTGAGATGGGAGGATTGCTTGAGGTTAGGAGTTCGAGAACAGCCTAGTCAACATGGCAAGATCCCACCTCTTAAAAAAAAAAAAAAGAAAGAGGAAGGAAGGGAGGGGAAGGTTGGGAAAGGAAGGGAGAGAGGAAGGGAAGGAGGGTGACAGTGGGATGCATTTCATGCCTATGCAGAGGGGAAGACAGCCAAGTTGTTGAAAAGTACACCCTTGGGGATAACCACAGCCACAGTGCCCGAGTTTAGAGGGTCAGGCCAAGCCCAGGTACACTCAGTCCTATACACCTTTGACCATGGGGCTAATTTGCCCCATGGATATGTGGCTCACATCATGTTTGTTTTTGCTTTTAACAACTGGCAGGCCAGCACAGTGGCTCACACCTATAACCCCCAGCACCCTGGGAGGCCAAGGCAGGCGGATCACTTGAATCCAGGAGTTTGAGACCAGCCTGGGCAACATGGTGAAACCATGTCTCTACAGAAACAAGACGAAACATTCACCCGGTGTGGTGGCACGCACCTGTAGTCCTAGCTACTCGGGAGGCTGAGGTGGGAGGATCACCTAAGCCCAGGAGGTGGAGGCTGCAGTGAGCTGTGATCACATCACTGCAGTCCAGCCTGGGTGACAAAGTGAGACTCTGTCTCAAAAACAAACAGTTGGCATTCGAGGACAACACTTGAAAATGAAGGGATTTTATATAAAAGGCAGACTTGGCTCCTCTTGAAAATCAGGTGTCTTGGTTTGGGTTACACCGGCAGCTGACCCTGGGACAAGGGCACAATGGTTTCTTTAGGAGCTGCGGACGGTCCGGTAAGGGAGGAGAGGAGGCAGGCAGCCAGCAAGACTGCGCCGCTGAGCCAGCCGCCACTTTGGGGAACTGCAGCCGAATCCCTCTGGGAACCACGGTGTAAAGCCGGTGCCTTGGACTCACTCCACCCCGGGGTGAGGGGAGGGAGTCTGGAGGTTCCTACACCAGTGCCTGGCAGCCTCTGGCTGAGACTGCTCTAAGAGAGTATTAATTTCACAGCACAGCCGCTGGCCCCAGCAGAACAGCATTCCCAAACTCTGGAAAAACCCATTAGACTCAGAGGTGAAGATACAGGTGGCTGGAAGTTTCCAGAGCACAGTAAAAGGTTAGGTGTAGGGGATAGGGCACGGTCTGACAACATCTACACCCTGGGGTGCTCTCATTCCCACAGGAAAAATAGGCTCTGGTGGGAGAGGGCAGCAGCCTCTTTAACAGGAGAAGGGCAGAGTCCCCACCTGCCCATCCCCCATCGCCCCAATTACTGAGGCAGCAATGCCCATTGCCATGTATCATAGCACTTGCACTGATGTTTGACTTCCAACACAATATCTTCTCTGTGAATTCATGTCTGTCCAACATGAGAAAGTGTCAGGCCAAGAGGGCCACGGCTCCCATGCCATTCACTGTGACAGCTCCCCAGCCACTATAGGCATTTGGGTTTACAGCCCTGGCTTAAAGTCCTGGAATGCTAAGTTCTGGGCTGGCTTTCCTGACAACACTCACTCTAGGTTTCTCTTTTTTTTTTTTTTTTTTTTTTTTTTTTTTGTTTTTTTAGGTTTTCGGGGTGGGGGGGGCGGGGGGGTTTTCTGCCCACGGAAGACCCCCCCTCCGGGGTTACGCCCTTCTCC